CTGACCCAAGGAGCACATCTTTCCTGAAACCCTGCAGGGGTGACAGTGGTCCAGGCAGGAAGGAGTTCCTTCAACCCAATGTAGGGCAGCTCCCAGCTGAAACTCAGTGGCCAGGTCAGGCCTGGAGTACTGCCCAGGGCACATGGGGAAAGGGGCAGGAACAGGGGATGTAGTGTGCCCTGGAAGTCACACTGGAGTTCTCCTTCCCTGGAGAGGGGTGAGTGACTGGGCCTACACGGTCAGGCTGTGGAGATTCAAGGAATGTTCCACACCCATGGTCTTGAATGGGACCCAACCCTATTGAGCAATGGGCCATCTTAGTGGCACCTCCTTGAGCCTGGTGGGGAATGGCACTGTTTCAATGAGGTTGGGTCAAGGCTGAGCTCTGGCTGGCACCTGGTGGTGCTGCAGGGCCTGGGACTTGTGGGCTTTGGGCCAAGGGAGCAGCTCTGATCCTGCTGGGGACAAGCCTTCCTTGAGGTCCAGTGGTGAAAAGGGTGTCCTCGTGAGGTGGTAAGACCTGCTGTTGAGTGACCTGTTCTGGGAATTTGCTGCCCAGGCTGCTTCTGAGTCTTGGGGGTCACCTCAGTGTAGCAGGGTCTTGAGCCCAAGGAAAGGAGAATACACCATGTGGTTCCTGATGGGCTGAGTGTGACCCGGCTCTGTGTGTCAGAGTTGGGCAGGACATGGATGGGGACCCACCGTAGAAAACATGTGACCCTGGAGGCCCCTAGGCTTGGAGAGGGCACCACGGCCAGTGCCCACCACGCCTAGGTGCAGGACTGCCAGGTCTGCAGTGGCTCTTGGCCTCTGGGCCAACATACTTGGTTGGCCAGGAGCTGGTTGGTGGCCCTGTCCTCTGCCCCGTGTCCCCGGTGTGGCCCTGGGGTTGTGTGTGGGAACAGGCCCGGGCAGTGGAGGTGCTCTTGGGGCCTGCAGTAGGGTGCAACCCAGACATTTTGCCTGAGCCAAGTGACATACTTGCCCTGTCTTTCCAGGGTTTGGTGGCAGGGAGGGCCAAGGGTACCCAGTGTCCGTGTGGGTCAGTGTTCAGCATGGATCCCATCACATGAGTATCCCTTAGCCCTTTGTCCACACTGATGTGTGAGGCCCTGGTTAGACACATTTCCTCCTCCTGTCCCTCCAGATGGTGAGCCTGGAGGAAGACTTGTGTTGGCCCACAGGCCCCAGGCCAATGTCAGCCAGGTGCTCATCTCCTGGTTTGCTGAAACTCTGGCCCTTCGTGGCACCCTGGTCTCCTGCACTGAGCTGTGGTGAGCATGTCTGGGTTGCACTGGATGTTTGGGGGGGGAGGGGGTTCCCTGGGTTGGGTCAATGATGAGAACCTGATATTGCTCTGAAGAGAGATGATGACTTAAAAATCATGCTCAATAGGATTACGCTGAGGCCCAGCCTAGGTGAGAATTTTGCAAGAGGATGCTGGGATCCCGAGGTCCCTTGCAGGGCCATTGTATGTTGAACTGGAGACCTGGAGGCTCTGAAGGGCATCTGGAGGTGGCCCAACCTGTCTCTGCACTCCTCTGTGAGGCAGCCCAGGCTCCCTGTGAGGGGTTGGTGTTGGCGCTCCAGTTCCCTGGGGCAGGGAACATTGGTGGCTCCCTCCTGAGCCCCTGTTCTCACCTTGTGCCTTTCAGATCTTCCACCCAGGAGGTCCCCCTGGCATTGACTGGCATAGGTGAGTGGATCCTACTGGAGTCACGGGTCATGAGCCAGACCATGTGAGGTCCCCGAGATTCAGCCTTTGAGCAACAGTTTGAGCAGACCTGAATTTCCACCTGGGAGGGAAGGGTTCTCCTGGACAGCGACATTTTTTGGGAATTGGATCCAAGGAGGACGCCTTCCCTGAAGCCCTGCCAGGGTAATGGTTGTCCAGGCAGGAAACTTCCTTCTGCTTAATGCAGGGCAGCACCCAGCTGAGACTCAGTGCTCCAGTAAGGCCTCCAAAACTGCCCAGGCCACATGAGGGGGGCCAGAGGGGCTACGAGGTGCCACAGGGGTAACAGGGGAGCTCTTAGTCCCCAGAGTGTGTGTGTGAATTGGCCCATTCGGTTGGGTCTCAGAGATTTAAGGATTGCACCACACCATGGCCCTGAATGCAACCGTCCTTGTTGATCAATGGGTCATCCCAGTGGGTCTCCTGGAGCCTGGTGGGAGGGGGCATGGTTTTCCTGGGGTTGGGTCAAGGCAGAGCTCTGGCCAGTACCTCATGGTGCTGCAGGTCAGCCCTGGGACTCATGGGCTTTGGACCAAGGGGCAACCCACGTCCAGCTGGGGGCCACCCTTTCTCTATGGTCAAGTGTCATGAAGGTTGGCCTCCTGAGTTAGGAACAGCCGCTATTGAGGCACTTGTACTGGGAATTAGTTGCTCAGGCTGCTTGGGAGCCATGGTGTCACTTCCAGGGTGGCAGGGTCTTGGGACCAAGCAAAGGAGAGGGCACCATGTTGCTGCAGTTAGGCCATGTGTGACTGGCTGTGTGTCTGGGAAGTATGAGTATGAATGGGGACCCACCAGAGAAAGCAAGTGGCCCTGCAGCCCCAGGCTATGATTTCCAGTGCATGCTTGGAGAGGGTGCCTGTACGCCCACCTACCAGGCTCAAGGGTAGGCTATGCCACTGTCAGGTCTGCAGTGGCATATGGCATCTGGGCCAGCCTCCTTGGTTGGCCATGACCTGGCTGGTGGCCTGGGCCTGTGCCCAGTGTTCCCAGGGCAACTCTGGGGTGCTGTGAGGAAGCTGATTTGGCCAGTGGAGGTGCTCTCGGGTCCTGCAGTCCAGCATAGCCTAAGCGTTTTACCTGAGCCCAGTGACCTGCCTGCCTTGCCCTTGCCGGGTTCGGTGGTAGGGAGGGCTAAGGGTTCCCTGCATAGGTGACGAGTCAGTATTTTTCATGAATATCATCATATGTGTCCATGGAGCAGGAGCAAACGTGAGCTGGCACCCACCACCCCCTTCTCCACATGGAGGTGGTCACATGTCCTCCATGTGTTCCCCCAGATGGTGAGACTTCTGTTGGGCTCACTTTTCCTGGACCAGTGTACATCAGCCAGGTGTTCAACCTTCGGTGTGCTGAAGCTCCAGCCCTTCCTGGTGCCCTGGTCTCCTGCACTGAGCTCTTGGTGAGCACATCTGGGTTCCACTGGATGCATAAGCAGGAAGGGGGGTGCCCTGGGTTGGGTCAATGATGAGAACATATTGTCCTGAAGAGAGGTGATGACTTAAAAATCATGCTCAATAGGATTACGCTGAGGCCCACCCTAAGTGAGAAATTTGGAAGGGGTTGTTGGGATCCTGAGATTTCTGGCAGGGCCACTGTATTTTGGGTTGGAGAGCTGGAGGCCCTGAAGGGCATCTGGAGGTGGCCCAGATCTTTCTCTGTGCTCCTCTGTGTAGCAGCCCAGGCTCCCTGTGCGGGTTTGGTGGTGTTGTTCCTTGGGTGTGGGGCATGTGGGTGGCTCTTCCCTGAGCCCCGGTTCTCCCCTTTTGTCTTTCAGTGAGCTCTTTTGCCTCCTCCTCACATTGACCAATATAGGTGAGTGGATCCTGCTGGTGTCATGGTCCATGAGCAGGCTGCTTGGGGTTGCCAAGGGTCAGATTTTGGGCCGTGAGGGTTTCCTCAGGGAGCCGACCCTAATTCCCACCAGGGAGGCATGATTTCTCCAGGAGGGCAGCTTCCTTGGGACTCTTACCCGAGGAGGATGCCTTCCCTGAAGCCCTGCAGGGGTGACTGATGGTCCAGATAGCAAAGGGTTCCTTCAGCCCCATGCAGGACATCGCCCAGTTGAGACTTGGTGTGTGGGTCAGGTCTTGAGGACTGCCCAGGCCACATGAGGGGGGCCAGAAGAGCTCCGGGGTGCCACAAGTGTTACGTAGAAGCTCTCAGTCCCCAGGCTTGTTTCAGGGGTGTGGTGACAGGGTCAAGTCACAAAGCTTCAAGGATCTCATCCCACCTGTGACCCTGAATAGGGCTGACCCTGTTGAGCAACTGGCCATCCCAGTGGCACGTATTGAGCCTGGTGGGGTGTGGTGCAGTTTCAATGGGGTTGGGTCAAGGCTGAGAAATGGCTGGTGCCTGGTGGTGCTGCAGTCCAGCCCTGGGAGGGATCTGTGGGCTTTGGGCTGAGGGGGAAGCCTGCATCCCATTGGGGGTAACCTGTTCTCCAAATTTGAGAGACAGTAACAGTGGCATTCTGAGGTGGGAAGGCCCACTGTCAGAGGTCCTGTACTGGGAATTTGCCACCCCACCTTCTTCTGAGCCATGGGGTCACCTCCAGGGTGATGGGGTCTTGGGTCCAAGGAAAAGAGAAGATACTATGTGGCCCTTGATTGACCAAGTGTGGCCCAGCTCTGTGTTTGGGAGGTGTGTGGGATGTGGATGGGGTCCCACCACTGAAAGCTCGTGGCCCGGGTCCCCAGGCTGTGATTTTCAGTGCACACTTGGAGAGGGCACCTTGGGGGTGCCCACCACATCCAGGGGCAGGCTATGTGACTGCCAGGTTTGCAACAGTGCGTAGCTTCTGGCTACCCTCCTTGGTTGGCTTGGAGTGGGTTGGTGGCCGTGGCTCATGCACAGTGGTCACAGGGAAGGCAGACTGCCCTGTGTTTTCAGGGTATGGTGAAGGGGAGGGCCATGGGTGCCCTGCATCCGTGATGGGTCAGTGTTCCACATGGAATCCTTTACGTGTGTATCTCTTATGCCTTCTACATATGGAGATGTGAGGCCCTATTTTGACATATGTCCTCCTCCTGTACCCCCAGATGGTGAGCATGGAGGAAGACTTGCGTTGGGCCCAATGGCTCTGGGCCAGTGTCTGTCAGCCAGTTCCCAGCCCCAGGTGCACTGAAGCTCAGGCCTTTCCTGGCGCCCTGGTCTCCTGCACTGAGCTGTGGTGAGCATATCCTGGTCCTGCTGAATGCAAGTGTGGGGAGGGATTGTCCTAGGCTGGGTCAATGATGAGAACCTTATAATGTTCTGAAGAGAGGTGATGACTTAAAAATCATGCTCAATAGGATTACGCTGAGGCCCAGCCTAGGTGAGAATTTTGGAAGAGGACACTGGGATCCTGAAGCCCCCTGCAGGGCTCCTGTGTTTTGGGCTGGGGACCTGGAGGCCCTGAAGGGCATCTGGTGGACCCAACTGTATCTCTGTGCTCCTCTATGAGGCAGCCCAGCCTCCCTGTCCTGGCTTGGTATCCAGGCTCCGGGTCTCCAGGGACGGGACACGTTGGAGCCTCCTTCCTGAGCCCTCATTCTCCCTTTGTGTCTTTCAGTGAGCTTTTCCACCCAGGTGGGCCCCCTGGCATTGACCGACATAGGTGAGTGCATCCTGCTGGGGTCATGGGCTATTAGATAGTCAGTGTGGGGTCATTGAGGTTCAGCTTTTGGGCCACAAGGGTTTTCTCAGGCAACCAACCTGAACTCCCACCTGGGAGAGATGGGTTCTCTAGGAGGGCAGCTTTTTTAGGAATCAGACCCAAGGAGGATGCCTTCCCTGAAGCCCTACAGGGGTGATGGTGGTCCAGGCAGGGAAGGGTTCCTTCTGCCCAACTCAGGGCCCAATGCAGGGCAGCGCCCCCTTGAGAACTGGTGCTCTGGTAAGGCCTCAAGGACTGCCCAGGCCACATGAAGGAGGTCAGAGAGGCTACAGGGAACCATGGGGGTAACAGGGGAGCTCTTGGCCCCCAGAGTGTGTGAATGGGCCCATTGAGTTGGGTTGCAGAGATTCAAGGATCGCACCTGACCCATGGCCCTGAATGACCATCCCTGTTGAGCAGTGGGTCATCCCAGTGGGTCCCCTGGAGCCTGGTGGGGGTCGGCGTTGTTTTCCTGGGGTTGGGTCAAGGTGGAGCTCTGGCTGGTACCTGGTGGTGCTGCAGGTCAGCCCTGGGACTTGTGGGCTTTGGGCCAAGAGGCAGCCCACATCCCGCTGGGGGTCATGAAGGATGGCCTCCTGAGGTGGGAAGGCCCACTGTTGAGGCACCTAGACTGGGAATTATTCCTCAGGCTGCTTAGGAGCCGTGGTGTCACCTCCAGGGTGGTGGGATCTTGGGACTAAGCAAAGGAGGGGGCACCATATGGCTCCCAATTGGCCATGTGTGGCTGGCTCTGTGTCTGGGAGGTGTGTGGACTATGGATGGGGACCCACCAGAGAAAGCAAGTGGCCCTGCAATCCCAGGAGGTGATTTCTGGTGTAGGCTTGGAGAGGGTGCCTATATGCGCGCCCACCATACGCAGGAGCAGGCTATGCCACTGCAGAGTCTGCAGTGACGCCTGGCATATGGGCCAGCCTCCTTGGTTAGCTGTGACTTGGCTGGTGGCCCGTGCTTGTGCCCAGTGGTGAGGGCAGCTCTGAATTAATGCAGGAGAGCCATTTTGGGCAGTGGAGGTGCCCTTGGGTCCTACAGTATGGCACAGCCTGGGTGTTTTGCTCAAGCCCAGTGACCTGCCTGCCTTATCCTTCCCGGGTTCGGTGGCAGGGAGAGCCAAGAGTGCCCTGCATTGGTGACGAGTCAGTATTTTGCATGAATCTCATCACATGTGTCCATGGAGGACAAGCAAGCATGAGCTGGCACCAGCCACCCCCTTCTCTGCATGGAGGGTGGTTATGTGTTTCCCTAGATGATGAGACTGGAGGAAGACTTCCATTGGGCCCACTTTTCCTGGGCTAGTGTCCATCAGCCAGGTGCTTAGCCCCAGTGCCTTGAAACTCCAGCCCTTCCTGGCACCCGGTCTCCTGCACTGAGCTGTGGTGAGTACATCCGGGTTCCACTGGATGTTTGTGCGGGTAGGGGTTTTCTGTGTTGGGTCAATGATGAGAACTTTAAATTGTCCTGAAGAGAGGTGATGACTTAAAAATCATGCTCAATAGGATTACGCTGAGGCCCAGCCTAGGTGAGAATTTTGGAAGAGGATTATGAGATTCAGGCCACTGTATTTTGGGCTGGAGATCTGGAGGCTCTGAAGGGCATCTGGAGGTGGCCCAACCTATCTCTGTGCTCCTCCATGAGGCAGCTCAGGGTCCCCGTGTGGGTTGGTGGTGTTCTGATTCCCTGGTGTGGGGAATGTTGGTGGCTCCTTCCTGAGCCCCCATTCTTGCCTTGTGTCTTTCAGTGAGCTCTTCCACCCAGGAGGGCCCCTTGGCATTGACTGGCATAGGTGAGTGGATCCTGCTGGGATCATTGGTCAGGAGCCAGACCGTGTGGGGTCCCCGAGGTTCAGCCTTTGGTCCACAAGGGTTTTCTCAGGGAGCAGACCCGAATTTCCACCTGGGAGGGAAAGGTTCTCTTGGAGGATGGCTTTTTTGGGAATCTAACCCAAGGAGGACTCCTTCCTTGAAGCCCTACAGGGGTGATGGTGGTCCAGGCAGGAAAGGGTTCCTTCTGCCCAACGCAGAACAGCGCCCAGTTGAGACTTGGTACTCCAGTAAGGTCTCAGGACTGCCCAGGCCACATGAAGGAGGCCAGAGGGCCTATGGGCTGCCACTGGGGTAATAGGGGATTTCTTGGTCCTTGGAGTGTGGTGTGTGAATGGGGTTGGGTTACGGAGATTCAAGGATCGTGCCCCACCCATAACCCTGAATGTGACCATCCCTGTTGAGCAATGGGGCATCCCAGTGGATCTCCTGGAGCCTGGTGTGGGGTGGTGTTATTTCCCTGGGGTTGGGTCAAGGTGGAGCTCTGGGTGGTACCTGGTCGTACTGCAGGTCAGCCTTGGGACTTGTGGGCTTTGGGCCAAGGAACAACTACATCCTGCTGGGCGTCACCCTATCTCTGAGGTCAAATGTCCTGGAGGGTGGCTTCCTGAAGTGGGAAGCCCCATTGTCGAGGGACCTGTCCCAGGATTTTGTTGCTCAGGCTTCTTCTGAGCCATGGCATCGCCTCCAGGGTGACAGGGTCTTGGGCCCAAGCAAAGGAGAGGACACCATGTCGCTCTGAGTTGGCCAAGTGTAGCCTAGCTCTGTGGTAGGAGGTGTGCAGAGCATGGATGGTGACCCACCAGAGAAAGCACGTGGCCCTGCAGCCCCAAGCTGCGATTTCTGGTGCATGCTTGTAGAGGACGTCCTGATGTGAGCCCACCACACCCAGGGGCAGACTACATGACTGCCAGGACTGCAGTGGCACGTGGCATCTGGGCCAGCCTTCTTTGTTGGCCATGACCTGGCTAATGGCCCTGGCCCGTGCCCTGGGGTCATGCAGGGGAGCCCTCTTGGAGGGTGGAGGTGCTCTCAGGGCCTGCAGTATAGCGCAGGCTGGGCATTTGGCCTGAGCCCAGTGACCTGCCTGCCTTGTCCTTCCCGGGTTTGGTGGCAGGGAAGGACAAGGGTGCCCCATGTTGGTGACAAGTCCGTTTTTCACATGGATCTTATCACATGTGTCCATGGAGGATGAGCAAGCATGAACTGACCACCGCTACCGCGTTACCACATGGAGGTCATTTTGGACTCATGTCCTCCACCTCTCTCCCAGATGGTGAGACCGGAGGAAGGCTTGCATTGGACCTGTTATTCCTGGGCCAGTGGCCATTAGCCTGGTGCCCAGTCCCTGATGCTCTGAAGCTCAGGTCCTTCATGGCACACTGGTCTCCTGCACTGAGCTGTGGTGAGCACATCCAGGTCCCGCTGGAATCATGTGTGAGGTGGGTTGGTCCCCTGGGTTGGTCCCCTGGGTTGGGTCGATGATGAGAACCTTATATTGTCCTGAAGAGAGATGATGACTTAAAAATCATGCTCAATAGGATTACGCTGAGGCCCAGCCTAGGTGAGAATTTTAGAAGAGGACACTGGGATCCTGAGATCCCTGGCAGGGCCACTATATTTTGGGCTGGAGAACTCGAGGCCCTGAAGGGCAACTTGGAGGGCCCCAATGTATCTCTGCACCCCTCTGTAAGGCAGCCCAGTTTAGCTATGTGAGCTTGGTGTCTGCTTCCCTGGGGATGGGGCATATTGGGGGCTACTTCTTGAGCCGCCATTCTCCCCCATGTCTTTCAGTGAGCTCTTCTGTCCAGGTGGGGCTATGGCCTTAAGCGGCATAGGTGAGTGTATCCTATGGGGTTCATGGTCCCTGAATGAGGCAGCATGGGGCCATTGAGGGTCAGCCTTCGGGCCACTAGGGTTTTCTCAGGGTGCCACCGGGGAGGCAACTTTTCTCCAGTAGCATCGCTTCCTTGGGAATCTGACCCTAGCAGCACGCATTTCCTAAAGCCCTGCAGAGGTGATGGAGGTCCAGGCAGAAAGAGTTCCTTCAGCCCAACACAGAGCACCTCCCAGCTGAAACTCGGTAGGCTGGTCAGGCCTCGAGGACTGCCCAGGCCACATGAGGGGAACAATACGGGCTCTGGGGCAGCCTGGGGGTCAAGCTGGAGTTCTCCCTCCCTGGACAGTGGTGGTGATTGGGCCCATGTAGACAAGCCCCAGATATTCAGGACTGCACCCCATCCGTGGCCCTGAGTGGGACCGACCCTGTTGAGTAATGGGCCATCTTAGTGGTACCTCCTTGAGCCTGGTAGTGGGAGGCACCGTTTCAATGCAGTTGTGTCAAGGCTGAGCTCTGGCTGGTGCCTGGTGGTGCTGCAGGCGGCCCCGGGGGTTGTGGTCTTTGGGCCAAGGGGGCAGCTCACATCCCGCTGGGGTCACCCCTTCCTTGAGATTCAGTGGCAGGAAGGGTGTCCTCCTGAGGTGGGAAGTCCTGCTGTCCAGGGACCTGTTCTGGGAATTTGCCCCACAGGCTACTTCTAAGCCACGGGGTCACCTCCAGGGTAGAAGGGTCTTGATCCCAAGGAAAGGAGAGGACACCATGTGGTTTCTGATTAGCCCAGTGTGACCTGGCTCTGTGTGTGGGAGGTGTAGGGCAAGATGAAGACCCACCAGAGAAAGCACGTGGGCCCGGAGGCCCCCAGGCTTTGATTTCTGGTGTGTGCTTGGAGAGGGCACCAGGGTGGGCACCCACCATGCAGGCTCTGTGACTGCCAGGTCTGCATTGGCTCCTGGTGTCAGAGTCAGACTCCTTGGTTGGCCATGAGCAGGTTGGTTGCTCTGACCCATGCCCCAGAGTCCCAGTGCGGCCCTGGGGTTGTTCGGGGGAGCCGGCCCGAGCAGTGGAGTTGCTCTTGGGGCCTGCAGTAGGGCACTGCCCAGGGGTCTTGCCCCAGCCCAGTGACCCATATTCCCTGTCTTTCCAGGGTTTGGTGGCCAGGAGGGCCAATGGTGCCCCGTTTCCATGATGGATCAGTGTTCTGCGTGGATTCCATCACATGGGTATCCCCTACCCACCTTCCCCACACTGATACGTGACACCCTGGTTGGACACATGTCCTTCTGCTGTCACCCCAGATGGTGAGCCTGGAAAAAGAGTTGTGTTGGGCCCCCATAGGCCCCAGGCCAGTGTCCGTTAGCCTGGTGCTCATCCCTCCAGTGCATTGAAGCTCAGACTCTCCCTGGCACCCTGGTCTCCTGCTGAGCTGTGGTGAGCACATCCAGGTTCTGCTGGATGCATGCATGGGGAGGGGCTTGCCCTTGGTTGGGTCAATGATGAGAACTTTATATTGTCCTGAAGAGAGGTGATGACTTAAAAATCATGCTCAATAGGATTATCACGCTGAGGAGACCCAACCTGTGATGAGGAGAGTATTTGGGGAAGAGGATACTGGGATCCTGAGATCTCCAACAGGTCCACTGTATTTTTGGCTGGAGACCTGGAGGGTCCTGAGAGGGCATCTGGAAGAGGCCCAACCCTGTTTCTGTGCTGTTCCTTGAGGCAGCAGGCTACCTCTGCAGGCTTGGTGTTGGTGCTGCCATTCCCTGGGGCCAGGGAACACTGGTGGCTCCTTCCTGAGCCCCTATTCCTCCCTTGTGTCTTTCAGTGAGGTTTTCCTCCCAGGCGGGCCCCTGGCATTGACTGGCATAGGTGAGTGAATCCCTGCTGGGGTCATGGGCCATTAGCCAGGCCGTTATTAGGGTCGCCAGGTTCAGCCTTTGGGCCAGAAGGGGGTTTTTCTCAGGCAGCCGACCTGAATTCCCACCTGAGAAGAGTTGGGTTCTCCAGGAGGGTGGCTTTGGGAGTGGGCTTAGGAGGATGCTGAAGCCCTGCAGGGGTGATGGTGGTCCAGGCAGGAAAGGTTCTGTCAGCCCCAGGCAAAACAGCTCCTAGCTGAAACTCGGTGCTTTCGAGGTCAGTTCAAGGACTGCCCAAACACGAGGGGGTCAGAGGGGCTCTGGGTGCCACGTGAGGTGCTGTCAGGCTCTCAGTCCCCAGAGTGTGGTGTGTGATGGACCGTTAGGGTTGGGTCTTGGGCACTAAAGGGTCGTGCCCCACCCATTGCCTGGAATGTGACCATCCCTATTGAGCAATCGACCATCCCAGTGTGTCTCCTGGAGCCTGGTGGGAGGCGGCGGGTGTTTCCTGGGAGTTGGAGTTAAGGCGGAGCTCTGGCCCATAAGTGGTTGTGCTGCAGGTCAGCCCTGGGACTTGTGGACTTTGGGTTAAGGGGCAGCCCACATCCTGCTGTGGATCACCCTAACTCTGACATCAAGCGTCAGGAAGGGTGGCCCCAGAAGATGGGAAGTCGCTGTCAAGGGGACCTGTTCTGGGATTTTGTTTGCTCGGGCTGTGGAATCCATTGTGCTCTGCCTCAGGTGGCGGTGGGGTACAGGCCCAAGCACGGAGGGAGCACCACATGACTCCCAATTGTTCAAGTGTGGCTGACTGTTAGTGGTAGGAGGAATATCTGAAGTATGGATGGCTGACCCACAAAAGAAAGCATGTGGCTCAGGCTGTGATTTCCAGTGCTTCATTGGAAAGGGTGCCTGCACGTCCCCCATGCCCAGGGTAGACTATGTGACTACCCAGGTCTGCAGTGGTGCATGGCATCTGGAGGCCAACCTTCTTGGTTGGCCATGACCTGTGAATAACACACAACCGTGCCCATTGGTCCCAGGGATGCCTGGGGTCATGCAACAGAGCCCTCTTGGACAGTGGAGGTGCTCTCAAGCCTGCGGTATGGCACCCAGCCTGGGCGTTGCTTCGAGCCTAGTGACCTACCTGCCCCTGTCCTTCCAGGGTTCGGTGGCACACAGAGCCAAATTGTCTGTGTCAGTGATAACACATTAAGGTCTCATCACGTGCATCATGGAGGATGAGCAAGTACCTCCTTCCCAGGAGGTCATTTTGGACACATGTCCTCAGCTCTCCCAGATGGTGAAACTGGAGGAAGACTTGCATTGGGCCTCCTGTTCCTGGGCCAGTGGCCATCGGTCTGTTCTCAGCCCCGACGATGTGCTGAAGCTCAGGCCCCTTCCTGAGTGTGCCCTGGTCTCCTGCACCCGAGCTGTGGTGAGCACATCCCAGCACTGGGTCATGTCAGGTGGTTGGTCCTCTGGGTTGGGTGGTATTAGAAACCTTACAGTGTCCTGAAGAGAGGTGATGACTTAAAAATCATGCTCAATAGGATTACGCTGAGGCCCAACCTAGGTGAGAATTTTGAAAGAGGATGCTGGGATCCCAAGATCCCCAGCAGGGCCACTATATTTTGGGATGTAGAACTTGAGGCCCTGAAAAGGTCATCTCAGGGTGCAAACCCTGTCTCTGTGCCCCTCTGGGAGGCAGCCCAGGCTCCCTGTGTGGGCTTGGTGTCTGGACTCAGGTTGCCTGGGGTTGGGGCATGTTGTCGGCTCCTTCCTGAGCCTGTGTTCTCCCCCTTGTCTTTCAGTGAGCTCTTCTGCCCAGGTGGGGCCCGTGGCCTTAAGTGACATGAGTATGTATATCACTGTTGGAGTCATAGGCTGCATGAATGGTAACATGTGTGGGGCCATTGAGGTCAGCCTTCTGACCACTAGGAGTTTTCTCAGAGTGCCACCGGGAAGACATTTCTCCAGTAGGGTTACTTTCTTAGAAATCTGACCATAGGAGCACACATTTCCTGAAGCCCTGCAGGGTGATGGTGGTCCAGGCAGAAAGAGGTTCCTTCAGTAACATAGAGCAGCTCCCAGCTGAAGCTCAGTGGGCTGGTCAGGAGCTGGAGGACTGCCCAGACACATGGGGGGCAACAGGGGCTCTAGGGCAGTCTGGGAGTTACACTGGAGTTCTCCCTGCCTGGACAGTAGTGGGTGATTGGGCCCATGCAAACAGGCCCTCGTCAGGACTGCCCATCCATGACCCTGAATGGGACCGACCCTGTTGAGTAATGGGCCATCTTAGTGGTACCTCCTTGAGCCTGGTAGGGGGAGGCACTATATCAATGCAGTTGTGTCAAGGCTGAGCTCCGGCTGGAGTACTGGTGGTGCTGCAGGCGGCCAGGAGGTTTGTGGTCTTTGGGCCAAGGGGGCAGCTCACATCCCGCTGGGGTCACCCTTTCCTTGAGATTCAGTGGCAGGAAGGGTGTCACTCCTGAGGTGGGAAGTCCCTGCCATCCAAGGACCTGTTCTGAAATTTGCCCCTGTACTCCTGAGCCACGGGTCACCTCCCGGGAGTAGCAGGGTCTTGAATCATGAGAGAGAGAGGACATTCCTTGGTTTCTGATTGCTTTAATTAACAGCTTTCTGTGTGTAGAGGTGCAGGGCAAGATGAAGACCCACAGAGAAAGCCGTGAGCGGAGGCCCCCAGGCTTTGATTTCTGGTGTGTGCTTGGAGAGGAGCACCAGGAACGAATTTACCCACCATGCCCAGGGCAGGCTCTGTGACTGCCAGGTCTGCATTGGCTCCTGGTGTCAGTGCCAGACTCCTTGGTTGGCCTGAAGCAAGTTGGTGGCCCCGATCCATGCCCTACGGTCCCAGCGCGGCCCTACGGTTGTTCAGAGGAAGCGGTCAGAGCAGTGGAGTTGCTCTTTGGGGCCTGCAATAAAGCACAGCCCGACATCTTGCCCCAGCACAGTGACCTACATTCCCCTGTCTTTCCAGAGACTTGTTGGTCGGGAGGGCCAATGTTACCCTGTGTCGTGATGGGTCCAGTATTCTACATGGATTCCATCACATGGGCATCCCCACAACCTCCCACACTGATATCTCACGAGGCCCTGGGTGGACATGTGTCCTTCTGCTGCCACCCCAGATGATGAGCCTGGAAGAAGACTTCTGTTGGGCCTCAACAGGCCTCAGGCCAGTAATCCATCAGCCTAGTGTTCATCTGGTGTGTTGAAGCTCAGACCCTCCCTGGCACCCTGGTCTCCTGCTGAGCTGTGGTGAGCACATCCAGGTTCGCTGGATGCATGCGTGGGGAGGGACTTGCCCTTGGTGGGTCAATGATGAAACCTTATATTGTCTGAAAAGAGGTGATGACTTAGATGACATAATAGAGGATTACGCTGAGGCCCAACCTAGGTGAGAATGTTGGAAGAGGACACTGGGATCCCGAGATCTCCAACAGGGCCACTGTATTTTTGGCTGAACATGGAAGCCTGAAGGGGGCATCTGGAAGAGGGAGGGAGCCCAACCCTGTCTCTGTGCTCTTCCTTTGAGCAACCCAAGCTGCACACTGCAGGCTTGGTGTTGGTGCTGCAGTTCCCTGGGGCCAGGAACATTGGTGGCTCCCCTTCCTGAGCCCCATTTCACTCCGTGTCTTTCAGTAGGGTTTTCCTCCCAGGCGGGCCCCTGGCAGTGACTGAGCATGGGTAAGTGGTCCTGCTGAGGTCATGGGCCATTAGCCAGGCCATTATTGGGGTCGCGAGGGTTCAACACCTTTGGGCCACAAGGGGGTTTTCTCGGGCAGCCGACCTGAATTCCCACCTGAGAAGAGTTGGGTTCTCCAGGAGGTGGCTTTTTGGGGAGTAGACCCAAGGAGGATACCTGAAGCCCTGCAGGGGTGACGGTGGTCCAGGCAGGAAAGGTTCTGTCAGCCCCAGGTAAAAGTGGCTTCTAGCTGAGACTCCAGTGCTTGGGTCAGTTCTCAGGACTGCCTGAGACCTGAGGGGGTCAGAGGAGCTCTGTAGGTGCCAAAGGGGTCACATGAGAGCTCTCAGTCCCCAGAGTGTGGTGTGTGAATGGACCGTTAGGGTTGGGTCTTAGGTATAAAAGGTCAGTGCCCCACCCATTGCCTGGGCCCTTGACCATCCTATTGAGCCATGGGCCATCCCAGTGTGTGTCTCCTGGAGCCTGGTGGGGCGGTGTTGTTTTCTGGGTTGGGTTAAGGGAGCTCTGGCCCGTATGTGGTTATGTGCTGCAGGTCCCAGCCCTGGGACTTGTGGACTTTGGGTTAAGGGGCAGCCCACATCCTGCTGTGGATCACCCTATCTCTGACATCAAGTGTCAGGAAGGGTAGCCCCCTGAAGATGGAAGGTCAGCTGTCAAAGGACCTGTTCTGGGATTTTTGTTGTTGCTCGAGGCCAGGAATCCATTGTGTCACCTCCAGGGTGGTGGAATTTTGGGCCCAAGCAATGGAGAGGGCACCACATGACTCCCGATTGTTCAAGTGTGGCTGACTGTGTGTGAAGATATGGGAAATAGGATGGTGACCCACCAAAGAAAGCATGTGAGCATGAGCTGATTTCCAGTGCTTCATTGGAAAAGGAGTGCCTGTGCACTTCGCCCATGCCAAGGGTAGACTATGTGACCGCCAGGTCTGCAGTGGTGCATGGCATCCGGGGCCAGCCTTCTTGGTTGGCCATGACCTGACGAATGGCCTGGCCCCGTGCCCGGTCCCAGGGGATGCCCTGGAGTCTTCATGCAGCAAACCCTCTTGGACAGTGGAGGTGCTCTCAAAGCCTCTTGTTAGCATGGCACAGCCTGGGCGTTTAGCCTGAAGCCCAGTGACCTTCCTGCCCTGTCCTTCATGGGTTTGGTGGCACTGACCTGCACAGGTGTCTGTGTGGTAGCCAAGCACGTGGATCTCCTCACATGCCTCCATGGAGGATGAGCAAGTATGAGCTGGCATGACCTACCTCCTTCCCCCTCATGGAGGTCAGCGGACCTATGTCCTCCAGCCTCTCTCCCAAGTGGTGAGACCAGAGGAGAACTTGCATTGGGCCTCTGTTGCTGGGCCAGTGGCCATCAGTCTGTTGCCCAGCCCTGCGATGTGCTGAAGCTCAGGCCCTTCCTGGTGCCCTGGTCTCCTGCACCGAGCTGTGGTGAGCACATCTGGGTCCCACTGGATGCATATGTGAGTGGTTGTTACCTGAGTTGGGTCGATAGTGAAGAACCTTATATTGTCCTGAAGAGAGGTGATGACTTAAAAATCATGCTCAATAGGATTACGCTGAGGCCCAGCCTAGGTGAGGAATTTTGCAGAGACGCTGGGATCCCAAGATCCCAGCAGGGTCACTATATTTTGGGATGCAGGCATGAGAGGCCCTGAAGGGTCCTCTCAGGGGTGCCCAGGCCTGTCTCTGGCTGCCCCTCTGGGAAGGCAGCAGGCTCCCTGTGTGGGCTTGAATGTGGCTCTGGGTCCCAGGGATGGGGCATATTGGCTATAGCCTGAGCCCGTGTTCTCCCCCATGTCTTTCAGTGACTCTTCTGCCCAGGTTGGCCCCCTGGCCTGAGCGGCATAGGTGAGTGTATCCTGTTGGGGTCATGGGTGTGAAATAGGCAGCGTGTCTGCAGGCCATTGAGGATCGCCTTCAAGGCCCTGGGATTTAGTTTTAAGGGAGAACATTTCTCCAGTAGTCGCTTCCTTGGAATCCTGACCCTAGGAGCACGCATTTCTGAAGCCCTGCAGAGGTGATAATTAATTAGAGGCAGAAGGGTTCCTTCAGCCCAACATGAGAGCAGCTCCCATGCAAAGCTTGGTGGACCAAAGATCAGGAGGACTGCACAGGCCACATGAGGGCAACAGGGTCTCTAGGGCAGCCTGGGGTTTTACACTGGAGTTCTCCCTGCTGGACAGTGGTGGGTGATTGGGTCCCACACAGGCAGGCCCCACCAGATTCAGGACTGCCCCCATCCATGACCCTGAATGGGACCCGACCCTGTTGAGTAATGGGCCATCAGTGGTACCTCGCCAGGCCTGGTAGGGAGGCACTATATCAATGCAGTTGTGTAAGGCTGAGCTCCGGTGCCTGGTGGTGCTGCAGGCTGACCCGGAGGTTGGGTCTTTGGGCCAAGGGGCAGCTCAAATCCGCTGGGGTCCATCCCTTGAGATTCAGTAGCGTGAAGAAGGGTGTCCTCTGAGGTGGGAGATCACCATCCAGGGACCTGTTCTGGGAATTTGCCCCACAGGCTACTTCTGAGCCACGGGGTCACCTCAGGGTGGCAGGGTCTTGATCCCAAGGAAAGGGAGAGGACATACCACGTGGTTTCGATTGGCCCAGTGTGGCCTGGCTCTGTGTGTACAGGTATAGAGCAGACAGAAGGAGCCCTCAAAGAAAACCCCACCTTGACCTGAGCCCCCAAGCTTTGTTCTGGTGTGTGTGGAGAGGGGGCACCAGGGTGGGCACCACCATGCCCAGGGAAAGGCTCTGCGACTGCCAGATCTGCGTGACTCATGTGGTGTCATGGCCAGATGCGTTGGTTGGCCATGAGCAGATTGGTTGCTCTGACCCGTGCCCCATGGTCCCAGTGTGGCCCTGGGGTTGTTTGGGGGAGCCGGCCTGAGCAGTAGAGGTGCTCTTGGAGCCTGCAGTGAGGGCACAGCCCAGGCATCTGCCCAGCACAGTGACCCACATTGCCTGTCTTTCAGGGTTTGGTGGCCGGGAGGGCTAAAGTTGCTCCATGTCTGTTGACTCTCAGTGTCTGCATGGATTCCATCACAGCAGGCATCCCCTACCCACCTTCCCCACACTGATACGTGAGGCCCTGGTTGGACACATGTCCTTCTTCTGTCCCTACAGATGGTGAGCCTGGAGGAAGACTTGTATTGGAGGCCCCACAGGCCCCAGGCCAGTGTCAGCAGCCTGGTGCTCATCCCACCAGTATGCTGAAGCTCAGACCCTCCCTGTCACCCTGGTCTCCTGCTGAGCTGTGGTGAGCACATCCAGGTTCTGCTGGATGCATGCGTGGGGGAGCTTGCCCTTGGTTGGGTCAATGATGAGAACCTTATATGTCTGAAGAGAGGTGATGGCTTAAATCATGCTCAATAGGATTACGCTGAGGCTGGTGAAATGTTGGAAGAGACTGGGACCGAGATCTCAACAGGGCCACTGTATTTTTGGCTGGAGACACAGGGTCTGAAGGGCATCTGGAAGGAGGCCCAGCCCTGTCTCTGTGCTCTTCCTTGAGGCAGCCCGAAGCCACTCTGCCTAGGCTTGGTGTTGGTGCTGCAGTTCCCTGGGAGCCAGGAACATTGGGTGAGCTCCTTCCTGAGCCCCCATTCCTCCTTGTGTCTTTCAGTGAGGTTTCCTCCCAGGCGAGGCCCTGGCATTGACTGGCATAGGTGAGCAAATCCTGCTGGGATCATGACCAGCAATATGCAGTGTGGGGTCGCGAGTTCAGCCTTTGGGCCACAAGGGTTTTCTCAGGCAGCCCGACCTAATTCCCACCTGAGAAGTTGGTTCTCCAGAGAGTGTTTTGATGGGCCGGAGGATACCACAAGCCCACTGCAAAGGTGAGCGGTGGTCAGGCAGGAAAAGGTTCTGTCAGCCCCAGGCAAGAGTGGCTTCTAGCTGAGACTCAGTGCTTGGGTCAGTTCTCAAGGACTGCCTGAACACGAGGGGGTCCAGAGGGGCTCTGGGTGCCAAGGGGGTCACATGGGAGCTCTCGGTCGAGGTGTGGTGTTGAATGGACCGTTAGGGTTGGGTCTTAGGCATAAAGAGTGGAAGTGCCCCTGATTGCCTGGAATGTGACCATCCCTATTGAGCAATGGACCATCCCAGTGGGTCTTCTGGAGCCTGATGGGAGTGGCGTTGTTTTCCTGGGGGTTAGGTCAAAGGCAGGCTCTGGCCCGTATGTAGTTGTGCTGCAGGTCAGCCCCTGGGACTGTGCACTTTGGGTCAAGGGGGCAGCCCGCATGGCACTGGGGTTCACTATCTCTGACATCAATGTCCCAGGAAGGGGCAGCTTCTGAAGGACGGCCCACTGTCGAGGACCTGTTCCGGGATTTTGTTGCTCAGGCTGTAGGAAATCCATTGTGTTACCTCCAGGGTGGTGGAGTTTGGGCCCAAGCAATGGAAGGGCACCATGTGGCTCGATTGTTCAAGTATGGTTGTCTCTGTGTGTAGACATCTGGACAGGTGGTGACCACCAAATTTGCATACGGAAACTCAGTGTGATTTCAGGTACTTCATTGGAAGGGTGCCTGTACACGCCCCCCATGCCCAGGGGTGAACTATGTGACTGCCAGGTCTGCAGTGGTGCATGGCATCTGGGCCAGCCTTCTCGGTTGGCCATGACCTGTGAGAATGGCCCTGGCCCATGCCCAGTGGTCCCAGAAGCCCTGGGGTCATGCAGCAAGTCGTCTTGGGCAGTGGAGGTGCTCTCAAAGCCTGCAGTATGGCAAAAGCCTGGGCGTTTAGCCTGAGCCCAGTAGCCTACCTGCCTGTCCTTCCAGGATTATTGGCAAGCAGGCCCAAGGGTGCCCCACTGTGCCGGTGACAAGTCCATTATTTCACATGGTTTCATCACATGTTCTAGCCGGAGGATAAGCAGGTGTGAGCTGGCATGCCCTACCTACTTCCCTCATGGGAGTATTTTGGACACATGTCCTCCAGCTCTCTCCCGAGTGGTGAGACCAGAGGAAGACTTGTGTTGGGCCTCCTGTTGCTGAGGCCAGTGGTCATCAGCCTGTTGCCCAGCCCCTGATAAGCTGAAGCTCAGGCCCTTCCTGGCACTCTGGTCTCCTGCACTGAGCTGTGGTGACACATCTGGGTCACGCTGGATACATGCATGAGGTTGTTGGTCCTGAGTTGGGTGGAGTGATGAGAACTTATATTGTCCTGAAGGGTGATGACTTAAAAATCATGCTCAATAGAGGATTACGCTGAGGTTGCTTTGAATGAGAATTTTGGAAGAGGGCTGAGATCGCGTTCCAGCAACACCACTGTATTTTGGTCTGGAGAACTTGAGACCCTGAAGGGCATCTCAGGGTGCCCAGCCCTGTCTCAAACGACCCTGTGGCCAGGCAACCCAGAGAGGCTCCCTCTGTGGGCTTTGGTGTCTGGAGCTCTGGTTCCAAAGGGATGAGGCATGTTGGCGGCTACTTCCTGACCCATGTTCTCCCCCCATGTCTTTCAGTGAGCTCTTCTGCCCAGGTGGGACCCATGGCCTTAAGTGGCATAGGTATGAGTGTGGCTCACTGTTAGGATCATGAGCCATGAATGAAACTTGGGGCCATTGACAGTCAGCCTTCGGACCACTAGGATTTTCTCAGGGTGCCACGAGAAGAAGGACTGAAACGTTTCTCAGTAGGGTCGCTGCTTGGGAATCTGACCCTAGGAGCATCATTTCCACAGAGCTTCCCTGCAGAGGCAGTGGTGGTCTAGGTAGAAAAGGTTCACTTCCAACCCAACATAGAGCAGCTCCCAGCTCAAACTTGGTGGGCAGATCAGGGCTGAGCCCGTAGGGGCAATTGCAGCTCTGGGGCAGCCTGGGGTCACGCTGGAGTTCTCTTCCCTGGACAGTGGTGGTTCCAGTTGAGCCCCGCAGACAGGCCCTGGAGATTCATCAGCACCCCATCATGGCCCTGATCAGACCGACCCTACTGAGTGATGGGCCATCTTAGTGGTACCTCCTTGAGCCTGATAGGGGGAGGCACTGTTTCAATGCAGTTGGATCAAGGCTGAGCTCTTGCTGGTGCGTGGTGGTGCTATAGGCAGCCCTGGGGATTGTGGTCTTTGGGCTAAGGGGCAGCTCACGTCCGCTGGGGTTTCCCCCTTCCCAGCCCGGGAATTCAGTGCGAAGGGTGTCCTCTGGTGGGAAGTCCTACTGTACAGGGGCCTTTTCTGGGAGTTGCCCCACAGAGCTGCTTCAGAGCCCACAGGAGGTCCACCTCCAAGTGAGCAGGGTCTTGATCCCAAGGAAAGGAGAGGACCCCACATGGTTTCTGATTGGCCCAGTGTGGCCTGGCTCTGTGTGGGAGGTGTAGGGCAAGATGAGACCCACCAGAGAAAACACGTGGCTGAAGCTTTGAGTTTCTGGTGTGTGCTCGAGGGCACAGGATGGAGGCACCCACCATGCCCAGGGCAGGCTCTGTGACTGCCAGGTCTGCATTGACTCCTGGTATTGAGGCCAGACTGGTTGGTTGTACATGAGCAGGTTGGTTTCCCTGACCCGTTGCCCAGGGTCCCATTGCTGACCCTGGGGTTTGGGAGCCAGCCCGAAACAGTAAGAGGCCTCGGGGCCTGCAGTAGGGCACAGCCCAGGCATCTTGCCCCAGCTGACTTTACTTCTGTGTGTCTTTCAGGATTTGGTGGCCGGGAGGGCTAAGCCATTCCCCATGTCCATGACGGTTCAGTGTTCTGCATGGATTCCATCACATGGGCATCCCCTACCCACCTTCCTCACACTGATATGTGAGGCCTTGCGGACTATATCAACTACTCCTTGTCACCCCAGATGGTAAGCCTGGAGGAAAGAGTTGTATTTGGGCCCCACAGGCCCCAGGCCTGTGTCCTTCAGCTTGGCGCTCATCCCCCGGTGTGCTGAGCTCAGACCCTCCCTGGCACCTGGTCTCCTGCTGAGCTGTGGTGAAGCACATCAGGTTCGCTGGATGCATGTGCGTGAGAGGAGCTTGCCGCTAGTTGGGTCAATGATGAGAACCTTATAGTGTCCTGAAGAGAGGTGATGACTTAAAAAATCATGCTCAATAAGTGCAGCAGGCCCAACCACAAGTGAGAATGTTCAGGAAGAGGACACTGGGATCCCGAGATCTCCAACAGGTCCTCCAGGCTGGGGTCCTGGAGGTCCTGAAGGGCATCTGGAAGGAGGCCCAACCCTGTCTCTGTGCTCTTCCTTGAGGCAACCCAGGCTACCTCTGCAGGCTTGAGTGTTGTGGTGCTCTGCAGTTCCCCTGGGGCCAGGAGACATTGGTGGCTCCTTCCTGATCCCCCATTCCTCCCTTGTGTCTTTCAGTGAGGTTTCCTCCCAGGCCGAGACCCTGGCATTGACGCATAGGTGGGATCCTGCTGGGGTCATGGGCCATTAGCCAGGCCGTGTCGGCGAGTGTCGCGAGTTCCTTCTTTGGGCCTGAGAGGTTTTCTCAGGCAGCCATTACAATTCCCACCTGAGAAGAGTTAGGTTCTCCAGAGGTGGCTTTGGGTAAGCCCAGAGAGGGAATGCAAGCCCTGCAGGGTGATGGTGGTCCAGGCAGGAAAAGGTTCTGTCAGCCCCAAACAAACAGCTCCTAGCTGAGAACTCAGTGCTTGGGTCAGTTCTCCAGGACTGCCTGAACACGAGGGGCAAGGACTGCCTGAACACGAGGGGGTCCAGAGGGGCTCTGGGTGCCACGGGGGTCACATGGGAGCTCCCAGTCCCTGGAGTGTGGTGTGGGAATGGACCCTTAGGGTTGGGTCTTGGACATAAAATGGTCATGCCCCACCCATTGCCTGGAATGTGACCATTCTTATTGAGCAATGTACCATCCCAGTGTGTCTCCTGGAGCCTGGTGGGAGGTGACGTTGTTTTCCTGGGGTTGGGTCAAGGCCTCTGCCTTGCCCGTACCTGGTTGTGCGACAGGTCAGCCCTGGGATTTGTGGCCTTGGTCAACAGGGCAGCCCGCATCCTGCTGGGGATCACCCTATCTCTGACATCAAGTGTCAGAAAGGGTGGCCCCCTGAGAAGGGACGGCCTGCTATCGAGGGACCTGTTCCAGGGTTTTGTTGCTCAGGCTGCTTGAAATCCATTGTGTCACCTCCATGGTGGTGGAGTTTTGGGCCCAAGCAATGGTGAGGGCACCATGTGGCTCCCAGTTGTTCAAGTGTGGCTGGCTCTGTGTGTGGGAGATACGCGGAATACGAGTGGTGACCCACCAAAGAAAGCATGTGAGTCAGGTTGTGATTTCCAGTGTGTGCTTGGAGAGGGCACCTGTGTGCACAATGTGTTCATGGAGGACGAGCAAGCATCAGTTAGCATGCCCTACCTCCTTCCCCACATGGAGGTCATTTTGGACAGATGTCCTCCACCTCTCTCCCAGATGGTGAGACAGGAGAAAGACTTGTGTTGGGCCTGTTCCTGGGGCTGTGGCCATCAGCCCGGTGCCCAGCTCCTGATGCACTGAGGCTCAGGCCCTTCCTGGCGCCCTGGTCTCCTGCACTGAGTTGTGGTGAGCACATCTGGGTTCTGCTGGAATCATATGCAAGGTTGTTGGTCCCCTGGGTTGGGTTGATGATGATAACCTTATATTGTCCTGAAGAGAGGTGATGACTTAAAAATCATGCTCAATAGGATTACGCTGAGGCCCAGCCTAGGTGAGAATTTTGGAAGAGGATGCTGGGATACCAAGATCCCTGGCAGGGCTACTAGTCACTGTATTTTGTGCTGAAGAACTTGAGGCCCTCAAGGGCATCTCAAGGGGACCCAGCCATGTCTCTGTGCCGTTCCATGAGGCAGCCCAGGCTCACTGTGTGGGCTTGGTGTCCGGGCTGTTTCCCCAGGGATGGGGCATGTTGGTGGCTCCTTCCTGAGCCCGTGTTCTCCCCCGTGTCTTTCATGAGCTCTTCTGCCCAGGTGGGGCCCATGGCCTTAAGCGGCATAGGCGAGTGTATCCTTTTGGGGTCATAGGCCATGAATGAGGCAGCGTTGGGCCACTGAGGGTCAGCCTTTAGGCCACTAGGGTTTTCTCAGGGTGCCAACCTATTTTCCACTGGGGAGGGAACATTTCTCCAGTAGCGTTGCTTCCCTGGGGATCTGACCCTAGGAGCACTCATTTCCTGAAGCCCTGCAGGGTGATGGTGGTCCAGGCAGGAAAGGGTTCCTTCAGCCCAACATAGAGCCGCTCCCAGCTGAAATTCTGTGGGCTGGTCAGGCCTTGAGGACTGCCCAGGCACATCATGGGGGACACAGAAGCTCTGGGGCTCCCTGGGGGTCACACTAGAGTGGTCAGTGATTGGGCCCACACAGTCAGGCAGTGGAGAGTCAAGGAGTGCACCCCACCCATGGCCCTGAATGGGACTAACCCTGTTGAGTAATCACCATCTTAGTGGCACCTCCTTGAGCTTGTTGGTGGGGGTGCTGTTTCAGTGAGGTTGAGTCAAAGCTGAGCTCTCCTGGTGCCTGGCGGTGCTGCAGGCCGGCCCTTCTTTGGGCCATGGGGGCAACTCGTGTCCCACTGGGATCATCCTTTCCTTTAGGTCTAGTGGTGGGAAGGGTGGCCTCCTGTGGTGGGAAGGCTGGCTCTTCAGGGACCTGTCCTGGAAATTTGCCACACAGGCTGCTTCTGAGTCATGGGGTCACCTCCAGGGTGGTGGGGTCTTGAGCCCAAGAAAAGGAGAGGACATCATGTGATTCCTGATTGGCCAAGACTCCTTGGTTGGCCAGGAGCAGGTTGGTTGGTTGCCCTGACCTATGCCCCATGGTCCTGGTGTGGCCCTGGGGTTGTTCTGGGGAGCCAGCCCAGGCAGTGGAGGTGCTCTCAGGGCCTGCAGTAGGGTGCAGCCCAGACATCTTGCCCCAGCCCAGTGACCCACTTGCTCTGTCTTTCTAGGGTTTGGTGGTCGGGAGGGCCAGTGGTGCCCTGTGTCCATGTTGGGTCAGTGTTCTGCATGGATCCCCATCACATGGGTATCCCCTACCCACCCTCCCTGCACTGATATGTGAGGCCCTGGTTGGACACATGTCCTCCTGTCCCTCCAGATGGTGAGCCTGGAGGAAGAGTTGTGTTGAGTCCCCGCAGGCCCCAGGCCAATGTCTGTCAACCTGGTGCTCATCCCCTGGTGTGCTGAAACTCGGACCCTCCCTGACACCCTGGTCTCCTGCACTGAGCTGTGGTGAGCACATCCAGGTTCTGCTGGAGGCATGCTTGGTGTGGGGGTTGCCCTTGGTTGGGTCAATGATGAGAACCTTATATTGTCTTGAAGAGAGGTGATGACTTAAAAATCATGCTCAATAGGATTACGCTGAGGCCCAGCCTAGGTGAGAATCTTGGAAGAGGACGCTGGGATTCCTGGAATGACTGCTGTATTTTGGGCTGGAGACCTGCAGGCCCTGAAGGCCATCAGGAAGGTCCAACCCTGTCTCTGCGCTCCTCTGTGAGGCAGCCCAGGCTCCCTGAGGGGGCTTAGTGTTGGGGCTCCTCTTCCTCAGGGGTGGGGCTGGTTGGTGGCTCCTTCCTCAGCTCCCATTTTCCCCTTGTGTCTTTCAGTGAGCTCTTCCACCCAGCGGGCCCCTCGGCATTGACTGGCATAGGTGAGTGGATCCTGCTGGTGTCACGGGTCATGAGCCGGGCCATGTGGGGTCACCAAGGGTCAGCCTTTGGGATAAGAGGGTTTCCTCAGGGAACCACCCTGAATTCCCATCAGAGAGGCATGGGTTCTCCAGGAGGGCCGCTTTTTTGGGAATTAGACCCAAGGAGGATACCTTCACTGAACTCTATAGGAGTGACGGTGGTCCAGGCAGGAAAGTGTTCCTTCAGCCCCACCCATGGCAGCACTCGGTTGAGACTCAGTGCTCAAGTCAGGCCTGAAGGGAGTTAGAGGGGAGCTGTTTGTCCCTGGAGTGTGGTGCATGAATCTGCCCTTGGGGTTGGGTCATGGAGATTCAAGGATGGCGCCTCACCCATGGCCCTAATTAGAATCGTCCCTGTTGAGAAATGGGCCTTTCCAATGGGCCTCCTGGAGCCTGGTAGGGGGTGGTGCTTTTTTCCCTGGGGTTGAGTCATGGATGGGAACCCACCATAGAAAGCATGTGGCTCTGGAGGCCCCCAGGCTTTGATTTCTAGTGCCTGCTTGGAGTTGGCACCAGGGCCAGTGCCCACCATGCCCAGGGGCAGGCTCTGTGACTGCCAGGTCTGCACTGGCTCCTGGCATCAGGACCAGCCTCCTTGGTTGACCATGAGCTGCTTGGTTGCCCTGGCCCATGCCCTGTGGTCCTGGTGTGGCCCTGGGGTTTTTGGGGGGAGCTGGCCCAGGCATTGGAGGTGCTCTTGGGGCCTGCAGTAGGGTGCAGCCCAGGCATCTTGCCTAATCCCAGTGACCCGCTTGCCCTGTCTTTCCAGGGTTTTGTGGCAGGGAGGGCGAAGGGTCCTGCATCTGTGATGGGTCAGTGTTCCACATGGATCCTATTACGTGGGTCCATGGAGGATGAGCATGTGTGAGCCGGCACCCCCTTCCCACTTCTTCTCATGGAGCTGTGAGGCCTTGTTTGGACAGCTGTCCTCCTCCTGTCCCACAAGAGTGTGAGCCCGGCTGGTCCCAGGACAGTGTCTGTCAGCCAGGTGTGCAGCCTTTGGTGTGCTAGAACTTGGGCTTTTCTTGGCAGCCTGGTGTCCTGCATTGAGCTGTGGTGGGCTTGTCCAGGTCCCGCTGGTTACCTGCACGGCAATGGGAGTGCCCTTGGTTGGGTCGATGATGAGAACCTTATTTTGTCTTGAGGAGAGGTTATGTGATGGGTGTTGTGGCAGCTCTTTGTATTTCATTTTCTTCAGCGCTTTTTGCGTGTTCTCTTTGTGTATTCTTTTCCCTTTGTGTGTTTTACTTTCACAAAGGCAGCAGCAAATGTTTTATGGGTGGTGGTATTTTTCATTTGTATTTGCTTCCTAATTTGATAGTGTTTTAGTTGGAATAGACAGTCTCATTGTAGTTTTTCAGAAAGATGCTTTTTTTCTGTACATTATATAATTGCATATAATTTATCCAGTTGTTGTTTTTTTAAAAAAGAAACTGGGGACTACAGTCGAATGCACTGCCCATCTCCTACTTTATTGAAAAAGATTGTATGGAAATCCAAAGATGTGAAAGTAGACAAGCACAGCAGAGGACATTTATTTTGATATAACCACAGAAATTCCTCGATACGGCTTTATCATATCGATGGTTTTTCAAAGAAATATGAAATCTTTTGATAATGGATTGTCTCATTTGTGTTTCTCCTTATATCATGTTTTGCCATCAATACAAATTGCAATGCTTAGAAATTTAAAGAACACCTTCTGAAGTGGAAGATCTAGCTAAAGAATTAGATTGGTATTGGCTGAAATGTTGCAGTAATCACATGATAGGCTTAATACGACATGAGTTACATGCTGAGTGCTCTAAGGTAGAAAGTAGGTAACAAGGAATAACAGGTAAGTAATGTAAGTCAGGAGAAGGAAACTCTAGGATAGAATCATTAGAAAAGGCTTGATGTCAACAGCAGTCTGTAGAATTTACAGCATATAGAATTTACAATAAGTGCCTTTTTTGTGCTCATCAATGCTCTGCTTGTGTTGTAGGAGAAGTTAGTTCCCTTGAAGAAATGTAAATACAAATTTCCAAATTGCAATGCAGAAGGAAAAAAGAATGAGAAAGTAAAGAATATCCAAAAACTCTGGAAGCATTTCAAAAAGTGTAAAGATGCATAGTAAGAACGTCAGAAGAACAAGGAGATAAAGGGAAAGAAATGTTTGACACAACAATGACTTGAACATTTTCTAAAATTAATGATGGACAGAAACCCACATGTTCAGGAAGCTCAGAGAACATTACGCAGAATAAAAATATTTTACAAATCGACACCTTTGCATTTCATATTTAAAGTCCAGAAAAATCATAGACTAAGGAAAAATTTTGATAGGAGCAATAGGAAGAAAACCATCTTACCTATGGAGCAGCAAGAATAAAAATTGCTTTGAAATTATCTTCAGAATCCATGAAAGCAAGACATGAGTCAGGGTGAAATACTTAAAAGTAAAAAACAAAAAAATCTACCAACTTTGAATTTTCTGTTCATCAAAATTATTCTTCAAAAGTGAAGGAGAAATACTCTCTGAGACCAACAAAAATTGAGAGAACTTCTTGCCACTACACCAACCTTTTAATAAACATAAAAAGAAATTCTTCAGAAAGGATAAAAATGACATAGGTCAGAAAATCTAATTTGCATAAAGAAAAGCATTGGAGAAGAAATATATGAAGAAAAAGTTAAATATATATATATTTTTTGATTCATAATTGATCTTTCAACAATTTGTTCAAAATAACAACAGGATTATATTTGGTGATTATAGGTTATAGATAAGTGGAATGAATGACAGCAATATTATAAGTCACCTGGTTCCAAGATGGCTGAATAGGAATAGCTCCAGTCTACAGCTCCCAGCGTGAGTGACACAGAAGATGGGTGATTTCTGCTTTTCCAACTGAGGTACCAGGTTCATCTCACTGGGGTTTGTTGGACAGTGGGTGCAGCCCACGGCATGTGAGCTGAAGCAGGACGGGACATCGCCTCACCTGGGAAGCACAAGAGGTCAGGGAATTCCCTTTCCTAGCCAAAGGAAGCCGTGACAGACGGTACCTGGAAAATCGGGACACTCTCACCCTAATACCGAGCTTTTCCAATGGTCTTAGCAGACGGCACACCAGGAGATTATATCCCACACCTGGCTAGGAGGGTCCCATGCCCACGAAGCCTCACTCACTGCTAGCACAGCAGTCTGAGATCAAACTGCAAGGTGGCAGTCAGGCTGGAGGAGTGGCGTCCGCCATTGCTGAGGCTTGAGTAGGTAAACAAAGCGGCTGGGAAGGTCGAACTGGGTGGAGCCCACCGTAGCTCATGGAGGCCTGCCTGCTTCTGTAGACTCCACTTCTGTGGGCAGGGCATAGCTGAACAAAAGGCAGCAGAAACTTCTGCAGACTTAAATGTCCCTGTCTGACAGATTTGAAGAGAATAGTGGTTCTCCCAGCACAGAGTTTGAGATCTGAGAATGGACAGACTGCCTCCTCAAGTGGGTCCCTGACCTCTGAGTAGCCTAACTGGGAGACACCTCTCAGTAGGGGCCTACTGACACCTCATACAACCAGCTGCCCCTCTGAGATGAAGGTTCTAGAAGTAACAGGCAGCAACATTTGCCGTTCTGCAATATTTACTGTTCTGCAGCCTCCAATGGTGATACCCAGGCAAACAGGGTCTGGAGTAGACCTCCAGCAAACTCCAACAGACCCGCAACTGAGGGCCCTGACTGTTAGAAGGAAAAATAACAGAAAGGACATCCATACCAAAACCCCATCTGTACATCACCATCATCAAACACCAAAGGTAGATAAAAACACAAAGATGGGGAGAAACCAGAGCAGAAAGACTGAAAATTCTAAAAATCAGAGTGCCTCTTCTCCTCCAAAGGAACACAACTCCTCGCCAGCAGTGGAACAAAGCTGGATGGAGAATGACATTGACGAGTTGACAGTTTGTTATTCAGACGATCAGTAATAACAAACTTCTCTGAGCTAAAGGAGGACGTTCAGACCCATCACAAAGAAGCTAAAAACCTTGAACAAAGAATAGACGAATGGCTAACTAGAATAAACAGCATAGAGAAGACCTTAAATGACCTGATGGAGCTGAAAACCATGGCACGAGAACTATGTGACACATGCACAAGCTTCAGGAGCCAATTCAATCAAGGGGAAGAAAGGGTATCAGTGATTGAAGATCAAGTGAATGAAATGAAGGGAGAAGAGAAGTTTAGAGAAAAAAGAGCAAAAAGAAACGAATGAAACCTCCAAGAAATATGAGACTTTGTGAAAAGACCAAATCTACGTCTGATTGGTGTACCTGAAAGTGATGGGGAGAACGGAACCAAGTTGGAAAACACTCTGCAGGATATTATCCAGGAGAACTCCCCCAACCTAGCAAGGCAGGCCAACATTCAAATTCAGGAAATACAGAGAATGCCACAAATATACTCCTGAAGAAGAGCAACTCCAAGACACATAATTGTCAGATTCACCAAAGTTGAAATGAAGGAAAAAATGTTAAGGGCAGCTAGAGAGAAAGGTTGGGTTACCCACAAAGGGAAGTCCATCAGACTAACAGCAGATCTCTTGGCAGAAACTCTACAAGCCAGAAGGGCCAATATTCAACATTCTTAAAGAAAAGATAGAATCATTAGAAAAGGCTTGATGTCAACAGCAGTCTGTAGAATTTACAGTGTATAGAATTTACAATAAGTGCCTTTTTTTGTGCTCATCAATGCTCTGCTTGTGTTGTAGGAGAAGTTAGTTCCCTTGAAGAAATGTAAAGGGAAAGAAATGTAAATACAAATTTCCAAATTGCAATGCAGAGGGAAAAAAGAATGAGAAAGTAAAGAATATCCAAGAACTCTGGAAGCATTTCAAAAAGTGTAAAGATGCATAGTGAGAACATCAGAAGAATAAGGAGATAAAGGGAAAGAAATATTTGACACAACAATGACTTGAGCCCAGAATTTCATG